CAGGTCTAGCCCAAAGCCTGCCACATGAAGGCGGTGGCCAACGGTGGCAGTCAAGGGACGACCAACCCTAGGGGGCGGGCCACCCCTGTGGGCGCCTCCCTGCCTCTCCTTGCTTTGACGGTGGCATGCCTCCATGCTGAGGCGGTGCAGTCTTGTCCTCACGCCAAGAATAGCTTGAAGCATCACCATCCTCCCTGTATAAATGGAGGGGTAGAGCTCCCCTCTAGAACAGACATCAAGAGAGCAAAGAAGGGAGGGAGAGCTTCATTTCTACTTAGCTTTAGCTAGAATAAGAGTGGGAGTAAGTGAGGAAATAGTTGAAGTGCCGGGGCTGTCGGCAACCTCCCTTAGTGTGCTCACTACACTTAGCGAAAAGCGTGTCGGAGCTAGCAACTCCTCCGCTTGTATCTCTGCGAGCGCCTTACTATTTAGAGTAAGAAGTTCGTGTTTAACTTCGAAATTGATTTCTTAAGAAAGCTACCTTTGATCATTATGAACTTGTGGGTTCATCTGTCCTTGTAGTGGGTACTCTAGCAGAAGGCCCCTAATAGAGACGGATAACCCTTGCATGCATGCTATAGTAATAGTTGATAGCATAGACGTGATGTCTAGGCTAGAAGCTATCTTCGTTTTCTTTGTTCCTCATGGTTGAGGGGTAGGCGGCAAGTGGTGACAACCCAGTCCGTCCTTCGTACTCCCCCATGTCCGGGTTTGATGTAGAGCGAAGGCTGAAATCGCTTGGCAGACCAGGTGTAAACCACCGCCCGAAGCAAGTCTATAGTGTCAAAGTTATCTCCGCTTAAGATATTTACCCTTAGAAAAACCTCACTACCCATGCTACCTTTCACTTATTTTCTTTAGGTGAACTAGCTAAGAGACTTGCACACCTGTTCCTTTGGGAAAATACGATACCCTAAATATCTCTGGGTGAAGTGCTACAATGGTGTATCCGTGCGCTTGCGGATTCCTCATGGCAGCGGACAGGGCGGTGTGCACTGCCCTAGTCACCGCCATGGGGGTGGCGGTGCCACCGCCCCTTTATTCTAGAGGCTGGGTACTCAGGCTCGATCACCGGACAGGGCACTGCCCCTGGGGTGGCGGTGCCACCACCATTTATTTCCAGAGAAGGGTGCTTCGGGGGCTTGGTCATTAGGCTTGGTTGGGTCAAACGAGAGTCCGTGCTTGTTACTCTTGGTGATCGCCATCACCTAGACGGCTCGGTGGTGATTGGAAGCTTGGTGATCATCCGGCGGAGCTTGTGGACGACCCAAGTTATGGTGTGAGCGGTTGTGGGTGATTCACCGCGATGGAGTATCAAAGAATCGGCCCGTAGTGAGCACTTGATCCTTGCGCGGATCAAGGGGGAGCTACACCCTTGCACGGGTGCTCCAACGAGGACTAGTGGGAAGTGGCAACTCTCCGATACCTCGGAAAAACATTGCCGCGTTCCTCTCCTTCTCTTTAACTTGAGCATTTACATTTACATTCTTAGAATTGCCATGCTAGAGTAGGATTGGAACCTAGTGTGTAAAACTTTTGTGCGGTAGAACAATAGAAACACTTCTAGGCACAAGAGGGTGAAATGGGCTAACTGTAGGGCTTAATTATTGCAAGAAATTTAGAATTAGCCCAATTAACCCCCCTCTTGGGCATCTTGATCCTTTCATGATGGATTTCTCACTTCTTATGTGTCGTAGGAGTTGATTGTCCACTAAACAACTTAAGTTGGAGCAAGATCCTAAAACCTGACCACTTGATGATAATTTGAATCGAGGACCGGCGACGGGTTGCACTATGGAAAGACGGTGATATCTTGGATGGTGTAGCTCATTGGACCGATTAAAGATAGTGTATCCATGATAATAAGACTTGAACATCACTTGTACAAACCACTTGCCATGAATGAGTGTGGTAAGCCTAGTACTTCATTGTGACTGGATTTCCTATGGATTCGACATGAGGTGTAACATGGGGTAGCTAGAAGGGCTAGTACCTCAGTTCATGCTCCAACCATTCATGGGAGGTTTGCCCAAACTTGGGAAAGGTTGAGGCACGAGTCACTCCTTATGTACGCATGGGTCATATGGGCTATGATCATTGCTTTGGTGGGTTCAATGTGTGCCCTGCAGAATTGAATTATATACTTGTTCTATTCTTCTAGACTTAGACTAGTGTATGTAAAAATGACTCGTAGAAGATCGCTAATTGCTTAAACATATCAACCATGATACACTTCCTTAGTTGATTAGACAACTTTACTTATATAAATGCTTTTATGCAAAATCAATTGCATTCCTTGCTATAGCTTAAACGAATGATCCTTGTTATGATATGGGTAAATCCTGTTGAGGACAGTCATTTACTCAACTATCTATTTATTGAGTTTTACAGGTAATATGACAACCCTGGCCTATGTCTTCTTCTATGCCCTTGAGTCCTTAGCCGACTGGGAGAGTAGTCTTGTGAGGTGTAGGTTTGTGGGAGTGGCACCCCCACAAACTAAATCAAAACTATGTTGTTTAAGTTGAAGACTTCCACTTAGACTCTATGAGACGTGTTATGACTAAGTGTTGAACAGTGTCTTGTAAACCTAAATACTTTTTAACATACTATAGTTTCTGCAATGCTGTAATGTGTATAGTTTCTGCAATGACCCTAGATGAAGATCAAACAGTTGTGTACTATATGCCAAGATGATCGAACGAGTTGTGAGGGTATTGGCTAAGTGGTGTCAATATGGAGGACAACTTAGCTAATTCACCAGCTTGGTCGGGAGGTAATCCTGCAGCTGGGGGTACCTTCTCCGACGTTTCTTTGCATAGACCTCTTCCAGCCATGCCCTAGCTAAGACAGGAGACCTTTGCCCGCCCCCAGCCACCACTGGTTGGAGCCGTCGCATGGCCACCTCTTGCTGCCGCTAGATTAGCCCTACCGCTGGGAGCGAATGTAGCCAGCTGGCCCAGAGGTGGCAGCTGCATGGATGGGGTGGCTGCGACAAGGCTACAAGCTGTGGGCATGATCTATACATGAAGAAGATCGAGATTTTAATTTTTTTAGAGTGAGATTTTGAAAATGGTTGGAGCAACCCAAAAATATACTTCTAACTTTTTTTTAGTGACTTGTAAAACTCAATGATTTACCTATTCGTTTTTTGAACTATTGGAGATGTTCTTTCATAAGAGTGACTGAACCCACTCTAGCTAGAAAACGAGCAAAAAAGACAACTCTTTCTAAACCTAATAGAAAATTGCGCTAAATCATGCACCACTTCATTCTGGTCTCTCCCAACTTTAAGGATCTCCAGCCTCCGCAATTGATCTCCTACATCAAGCTCGTTTATTGACTTGCCAAATCACCAAGCAATCCTGAGCTTTTGCTTGAAGTTTATTGATCACCGTCCGGCAGTCAGAATCAAGCATCATGGGAGTAAACTAAAAAACTTATCACAATGGAATCTGATTAAGCCGATGGTCTAAGTAATCAAACAATAATAAAATAAGATTCAGAGTATGCTCCCTAGTACAGTCGAAATAAATTTGCCTCCGGCAATGAGAGCCACCACATGCAAAATTGAGAGAGCTCTCCTATTATAATCTTCGACGGAAATACCATTCCTTGACATTCAATAGATAATTCCTTGCTAACTTGGTCAGAGATTAGAATTATAGATTTTGCAATGGAAGAAAATTTAACTATACCAACATATCACATAACTTGATATTTAACTATACCAAATATATATAGCATGAAAATTAAGGTACTGATATGAGCAAGTATGTCCGCTGTTTTGCAATAGAAGAACATGATTGCATTGTAGTTTGATATAGACTTAATCGGTTTCCAACATCAATTTAAATTATAGATGTCATAATCATCACAAAGTAATACATATAGACATTACTCCCTCTCATCCGGTTTATAAAGCATTTCACATAGTTCAAGAGTCAAACTTTATAGGCCCCATTTGTTTCGCTGAAAAAACAAGACGAAATACTATTTCGACTAATTTGTTGTGAGAGAAAAACACTTTCTGGTTAAAAAACAAGCTGAAAAATACGGATTATAAGATAAGCAAACAGGGCCATAATCTTTGACTAATAATTTAGCTAGCAAATTTTAGCTACTGTAATCCTCCGTTTGTTTTGACATGTTATATTAGCTTTGATCTAAATCAAATGATATTGTCTTTGACCATCCGTTTCAAAATTTCCTTATAGTTTCACAACTAATGGATTATATATTATAAAAATATTTGTGAACCTAAAAACATAAATCTCGTGTCATGAACCTTCATTTTTTAAATCAATGATCAAAGATAAAAAAAAGTTTAACTCAGGACAAAGCTAATACGACATATAAAAACAGAGGAAATAATTCAAACTTCATATTAGATGTGTAATAAAATATACCACCTCTGTTCTAAATTATAAGACGTTTTGTCTTTTCTAAATACGTTACATTTGCTATGCACACATATATACACTATGTCTAGATACATGGTAAAAGTAATGTATCTAGAAAAATCAAAACATCTTATAATTTAGGATGTATTTAGTACTAAATAATCATGTTTATAATCATGAACAATACAATATAAAATAAATGAATGGTTAGAAGGCCATGTCATGTCAGAAGACGTCTTATAAACTGGATCCGAAAGATAATTCAAAAAATTATAGATATTAAATTTCATATAAAGAAAAAATATAAATATATATAGTATTACCCATTTCTGTTTTGTATGAACGTTAAATAGCTTTTCCTTACAACGTATGGGTATAAAAAAACATCAAGTTAAGTTTTTTTTTTCAGTTTCACAAAAAAAAAAAAAAAGTGAACAAAAGGCGTAGAGTGGAGAATTCCGTTTGTGGACCTCTGCACGAAGAAAAAGCCCAAGAAACCCCCCCGATCCGCCCCAGCTGAGAGCCAGAACAACCTGCTGCAGCTGCACTGCACCTGCAAGCCACGGAGCTCTTCCCGTTGCGGCGGCGGCAGCGGAGATGGCGGGGAATCTGGAGGATGTGCCGTCACTGGATCTGATGCACGAGCTGCTCCGCCGCATGAAGTGCAGCTCCAAGCCCGACAAGCGCCTCATCCTCATCGGTACGGGAGACCCTCCCCCTTCCCCCTAATTCGTCCTCGTCCCCGGCGCTCGGTGGATCCCTGTCACGGTTCCTGGTGCCACGTGGACGGAAAGACCGCGGCTTGCCGCAGATGACTCTCTGGATCTGCCGAAAGTTTTCTCCTTTCCCGTGAAATCTTGGTTATTCCATATTTTTCGTCCTGCATTTGTGGCGAAGAAATATATGGCTCTGTTTTGCAGTGAGTGGATTGTCTACAGTTTTCTAACAGTTGGAAGGATTCACTAGTTGAATAGCAAGAGAAATTAATCATGCACTTTGTCAATTAGTTCTGTGCTGTTTGGTTTTGGTGATTTTGTCGTAAATTTATAATTCTTCAAGGATTATCAAAAAATAGAAGTGAGATAATCTTAGTCAGCTTGGTGTGATGTTTTTTTAAAAGATCCGGATTAGTTACCAGCTTCTATTAATAAGAAGGGTAGCAATTACACGCCCAAGATGTGCCTACAGCACTGAATTCAGCAGGTTGTGAGGACAGAGAATTTAAATTAAGGCGATTACTCCTTAAAATGCTTGGCGTGATGTGGAAGCCTTTTCTTCAAGACAAAAAGAAGGGGTGCCCCATTGTGCACGCAAGTAAAGATGATACTCTTATATATCATTTTGTTTTGTTTATTTGACTTTTCATTGGTTCCATCGAGTATGTATTGCCGTCCATATTGACACTGAGGTGAACTCCCTTATGCAATTATGTTTTTAGTTTTTGTTGCTGATGATTGCATCTACATAAAAGAAATGATCTGCATTAACAAAACGGTACTAAACTGTGACATTCAAGACAAGTAAATATAAACTTATGCTTTCTGTTACATGGTTTCTTGCTTTTCATTATGCCCTTATTTGTTTTTTGTAGAATATGCAGGAGATCTGTGTATCATTGCATTAAGAAGATGTGGCCTTGTTTGTTGTCATGCTATTGCTTTGATATATATTGTTCTTATGCTTTCTGTTACATGGTTTCTTGCTTTTCATTATGCCCTTATTTGTTTTTTGTAGAATACACAGGAGATCTGTGTATCATTGCATTAAGAAGATGTGGCCTTGTTTGTTGTCATGCTATTGCTTTGATATATATTGTTCTGATACTGGTAGTCAGGATGGAAGAGGGTATATTGTATAGGGAGATATAAGGTCATAGTTCGAGCGAAAAGATATAAGGTCATAGTGTTTTTGTGGTGAGCAATAAACACAACACTTCTATAATCTTTTGTTTCATCATTCACAACATTTTAAATTTTTATTTCTATTATATAGCACTCCTGATTTGGAGAATTTGACACCTTTTCTGGAAATCTTGTAGGCCCACCTGGCTCTGGAAAGGGCACTCAGTCGCCCATTATTAAGGATGAATATTGCCTGTGCCATTTAGCCACTGGTGATATGCTGAGGGCTGCTGTGGCGGCCAAGACACCTCTAGGTATCAAAGCAAAAGAAGCTATGGATAAGGTAGTGTTAGCAGACCAAAATATATAGTGAAATGCTAACCAGCATAGAAAGGTGGTTCTTTGTGACTCCATTGTATGCTGCCTTCCTCTTTTAGGGAGAGCTTGTTTCAGATGACTTGGTTGTGGGGATTATTGATGAAGCTATGAAGAAACCCTCATGCCAGAAAGGTTTCATTCTTGATGGCTTCCCTAGAACTGTCACTCAAGCACAGAAGGTCATATACTTGATCAATGCACCAGAATGGAGAAACATTCCTATATCATATTGTTATATATTCTATATTTGATTTAGTATAATTTACCCCTTGCTATTTTTTTTGAACATGGTTTATAGCTTGATGAGATGTTGGCGAAGCAAGGCGCTAATGTTGACAAGGTTTTGAACTTTGCAATTGATGATGCTATATTGGAAGAACGGATTACTGGTCGTTGGATCCACCCAGCCAGTGGTAGGACTTACCATACAAAATTTGCACCTCCAAAGGCTCCAGGAGTTGATGATGTAAGTTTAATACAGAGCACTTACTTTAGTGCTTATTTTATGTTTGCATGGTCTTATTTGTATTATTTCTACTTTCTTCTAGTCTTTGTGTGGATCGATTCAGTATTTTGTTGTGTAAGTTGTTCAAGTTTTCCAATCAGTTTCATGTGGCATAACTTTTCAAATCTGTTAGATAATAAATTAGAGTAATCCTATCTTGACAATTATGGCTGAGTGAATATTGACATACTGTTATGGTCTGAGTCTGCTTGTGGATGCTATTATTTCTGCTTGGATGATGTACTGGTTAGTCTAAGCTGTGGTGCACCCTGTTTCTCCCTCAAGGAAAACCATGCTCATGGAAAATGCACTTTATATAAATTCTACAGTTATTGCTATCTTTTTTGCATCAAGAAAAAAAGCTGCATTATTGAAACACTTCTTCCTTCTCTTGTATTCAACTATTAATATGGAAACTTTATATCAATTTATCCAGAATATATTCGAGCACTTGTGATTTTAAATTCTTCTCATACTAAACTTTTTTTCCCAATTGGCATTATAGTTAGTGATTGTCCTCTGTTTTTTATTTGCTCTTCATTTTCACAAAGGTAACTGGGGAGCCATTGATTCAAAGGAGAGATGACACAGCTGAGGTCTTGAAGTCAAGGCTTGAAGCCTTCCACAGACAAACTGAACCTGTATGTTATTCTTTAACAGAATTATTTTCCTGAAAAAAAGTCCTGGACCGTATGTTTATATATTAAAGTTATGTTAGTGTATTCTAAAATTTGGTTTAAGAGTAAATTTGGCTTATCTCACCTTTCTTCATATTTATATCATCAATTATGTCATAGTGTTGCATAAAATTCAACAATTTGGTGGTCCCTGTCCCTGTGGGACGTGCATTTTTAATGTCCTTTATAGTTTTGATGCTCCATTTTTTTTTTAATTTTTTTTTTTGTAAATGCAAAGTCTTCTGGGTTCTCCACTTTTTATTCATAGTTCTGACTTATGTCATGAGAGTCAATTTGTGTATTCTCTGTACTTAGTGATGTATTTTTTTTAGATCAATATTATTCCTAAATTGAATATAATTGGCTTGTCCAGGTGATTGACTATTACTCCAAGAAAGGCTTAGTGGTGAACCTGCCTGCAGAGAAACCACCAAAGGAAGTGACTGCTGAGGTGCAGAAAGCACTCTCGCGATGAAGTGTCCACTCTTCAGGCTAAGCATGACATCTACCAAAATCCCTTTTTCTCACCATAGGGTTTTTATTTTCTGTATCCTTTTTTTGCGAGCACCGTTTTATCCCAGCTTTGAACTGTCTGGATAAATCTCTGTTTCAAATGATGGAAGTTGTTTTCAGTAACAAAACTGAGATGATTCCAGCAATTCATCTTTGGAAAGGAATTTCCTGGCAAACCATTCTCCAGTTCTTACATCAATGCTAGGTTACTGGCTATGATAATCAGGAAGATACCTTGGTATTCTGTTCGCTCAGCACCTTGCTCTATTGAGTGGAGGTATTGGTGTGCTGCGAGGTGAAATGAGCGTTTCAAGTTGTATGATTCTGAACCTGTAGTGATGTTAATTCAAATTGGGGTACCTAGTGCAGTTGAGCTGTACCCGTGCTTATTATTTTGTGAGTAGATGTACAACTTGAGAAATTCCTTGATAGAAATTTTGCACAATTGATATTGTCATTCTACTAGTTATTGGCCCGTGCGTTGCTACAGGCTCATAAAATTTGAAAGAAACAATTTAATGCAGATTTTTCTTAATTTATAATGGATGCAAGATTTTACTAAAAGGTATGCCAATACTTTATATGAAAAATATTTTTGTAGGAATCTTGATATTTGAACCTTTAATGGGCCATGACATCCTAAAGATCCATAACAAAAATGGACAATTGAGACTAAAATAGTCCAAACAAAATATATATTCCTATCAAAAAAATAAAGCTAGAAGCGTGTTTGGTTGTGCACTTCACCTGGCCTTGCCTAGCTGGCGCAAGCAACGAGAAACTTGCCCAGTTAGACTGTCTCTACCAACGGTTACCCAAAATATAAGATACATTTCATGTTGGGTGTAGCGCTATAGGCAAATGGTTCAATATTTATTTTCGATCTTTTCTAACAAGATCAAAAAGAGAACTCTTTCTGCAAATGGGTTTTCAGAAGAAATGATACTTAAATTTGGGTTATACCTCTTCTGACACCCAAAATAGGTTTTTCATATAGGTACTCTGTTCAAGGCTACAGATCTTCTATTGAAAACCCATTTTAGGTTTGGGTCTCCTGTTTAGGTCTCCTGTTGGAGACAGTTATGTGAGCCTATTTGGCTCTCCCGGTTGAGCAATCAAAACCTTGCCTGCATGGACTTCAAAATGTTTTGGCAAAGAAACCAAACACACACACCTCGCTCAAAATCCTTGCTGAGCAAGGCAATACCCAGCGAAGGAACTAAGCATGCCCTAAGTACCTTAGTTACGGTGTGAGAACGTATTTATAGGTGATATTCCTAGTGTATGTTACACCAAGATTTGAGTGTTTTTTTCTGGTCTCACTTTGACCGCTTCCCCATCATTTCTTTATTATCTACGTTGATAAGAACCTTGTTACTTCTAGAGAGTTCAGGTGCAAAGGTATATGGGCCTCTTTGGCACGGGTCCTATCGACTTCAGCTCCCACCTGCAAAATCTCTATTGAGCACTGTTCATTAGAGGCAGTTTTCTCTTCTTGTAAAGGTCCCTCTCACTAGAGGGGGTGAATAGTCTTTTCTAAAATTAATCGGTGAAGCCAAAATGCCAATCGGTCTAGCCAAGACTACACCCTCTATATATGTTCACTAGCACCTGAAAGAATTAAGATGCCTCCTAAGAGAGGTCACACAAACTTATGCCACTGTACTTTAAGGGCTAATTCTAAAATTCTTTACAATAATAAAACAACCCTACGCCTAATTAGCCCACTTCACCCTTGTGACTAATAAGAAAAACCAATCTATTGTTCTACCACAAGCAAAAGGTTTAGCAGCCCTACACAAGCTATCTAATTCCAATCTACTACTTAGCATGTCAATTCTATGAATGTAAAACAAGAATTGAATTGCTCCAACAGCTAATGTAAATAGCATCACCGCTAAGCCCGCACGTCGGGCACCGCAAGAACCTAGAGAGAGGTTGCTCTTCATGGCTCCCACGGGCGAGCACAAGTACCCCTCACAAGCACTTCTCCTGAGCGCCGCACAAGCTTTGATGAGACCACCACCAAGCCGTCTGGAGGTGGCAACCTCCAAGAGTAACAAGCACCACCGGCTTGCAACACGAGAGTCGATGCAACCTCACGATGCAATCTACTAGTCCTCACGTTGAATGCACTATCAAGTATATGTGTGATGGAGGGCGCACTCACAAGCATGGTGTCCCCTTAGGTGCTCCCCATGGCCGATCCACTTCTATTTATAGCCCCAAGGATCACCCTTCAGTGCTCTATACGGGTTGATTCTTCGACCTCGGTCATGACGATGATTCAACCACTTGACGGGACGCAGCAGCTTTCAATCACGTTGAACCCCGGTCCGGTTGAGTTTCCACAACATCCACGCGTCCAACACACGGTCATCCATACTCTAACTTCTCGTCATCGTGACGATGACCGGACGGGCGCCAAAGCCCCCATTGACGCCAAACATCTTCGCGACTAACTTTCTTTTCACTTCTAAGAACATTCAAGCGTGCAATAGAAAATACATTTTTTCCCCGAAAGCGCCGATTAGCACTCCTCCTTTGAAAGCATCTCAAAAAGAATTAAGCTTTTCATTCATTTCGAGATGATAGTGTTCCTCACGCTCGCTCTTAGTTCCCTATGGATCGCTCAAATGTCACTACCATAGTGCAAGGGCCCCCTTGTAGTTCGGTTCATCTATCCTCACCCGGTTAAACACATCTTTGCAAAGGCCTCTAAAGATGGTGTTTTGAGCCTTTGCACCAACACGATCAACAATGATATGATCCATTTCATCACATCATCGATCTTGACTCTACTTCACTTCATCGCCTTTGAAGGTCCATCACTCCAAAGATCCCAAGGTTTTGGGAATACTTGTGAGTCGTCTCTTCTCCAAGTGATCCCAACATCTAGAGCTTCAACATAACAAGCCATTTTCCATGTGGATTTTCCAATAAGGAAAATCATCCCCCTCAAAGATAGGAGGAGGTTCATCCCCGTGAGACATGTTTCTCTAGGCGGTTAGGCCTAAATACGTGAGCACGAGGCTCCAATATCAATTGAAAAGATCAAGATGCCCAAGAGGGGAGGGGGTGGTGAATTGGGCTAATTCTAAAATTCTTTGCAATAATTAAACCCTACGGTTATCCCACTTCACCCCTTGTGCCTAGAAATTGTATCTATTGTTCTACACACAAAAGTTTAGCAACTTATGTTCCAATCCTACTCTAGCATGGCAATTCTATAAATGTAAAGACAAGAATTGAATTGCTCAAAGTAAATGCTTAAAGTAAAGAGAGAAGGAGGAACGCGATGATGTTTTGCTGAGGTATCGGAGAGTCGTCACTCCCCACTAGTCCTCGTTGGAGCACCCGCGCAAGGATGTAGCTCCCATTTATCCGTGCAAGGATCAAGTGCTCTCTATGGGTTGATTCTTCGACACTCCGTCGCGTTGAATCACCCACAACCGCTCACAACTTGAGTTGGGTCATCCACAAGCTCCACCGGATGTTCACCAAGCTCCCAATCACCACCAAGCCGTCTAGGTGATGGCGATCACCAAGAGTAACAAGCACAAACTCTCACTTGAGCACGACAAGCCTAATGAGAAGGGTGGAAGCACACTTTGCTACTCTTGCTTTTACTAATGAGGCCTCTCACTTGGATGCTCAAATCTCAATCACCTCACTAGGACATTGCTCTTCTTGGCACTCTCAAGGGTGTTTCTCAGCTGTTTGAATGAGCAAAAGTGATCCCTTGAGTGAATAGAGGAAGTATTTATAACCCCTCATTTAAAACGAACCATTATGTGCCACTGTGGGGTGACCGGACGCTCCGGTCAAGGTGACCGGATGCTCCGGTCAGGTCTCCCCGCCACCGAGCTAGGTAAGTTGTGACCGAACACTGACCAGCGTCCGGTCACAAAAATTGCCCTCTGGAACTTTTTTATGTTGATCGGACTCTAGCACCCAGCGTCCGATCACTTTCTTTGCTCGCCAGTCATGTCCCGGTTAGTAGCTAGAACTGACCGGTCGTCCGTTAAGACAAGACCGACGGACGCGTCGATCATCAGATTCTCCTCTTTGGAACCTTCTTCGTTGATCGGACTCGCACCACCCAACGTCCGGTCACTCACCTCTCAACGTCCGGTCGCATCCAGACGACTTCACCTTGATCAAATGAACTGACCGGACTCTGCGCCAGCTTCCGGTCACACCGGAACCAACATCCGATCAACATTTGACCCTCCATTCACTTCTAACTCGCAATCATATGTGAATGAAGTTTGCTCCAATTGATCTAAGGGCTATTTAGGAGCTACCTAGTGCTAGATTTAACAAGTGTGCATCACACCTAACCCACTAGACTCACCTAGGTCAAGCTACCCATCCATACCCCCTTAATAGTATGGCCAAAGGAAAAACAAAGTCCTAAACTACTCTAAGTGTGTCTTCAACACCAAACAACACTTAGAACTAGTCCATCCTTAACCTTGTCGTCCATCATTTGAAAACCAAAACGATTTCCATCGTAGGGGCATAACAACCATGATTGCCCAATCAATTTCCATTACCGTGACCTAACTTAATTGCCTCTACAAAACACACGTTAGTCACAGTAATCATGTATTGTCATTAATTACCGAAACCCAACTAGGGGCCCAGATGCTTTCAATCTCCCCCTTTTTGGTGATTGATGACAATACAACCTTGAGTATGTAAAAAGAGATGAGGTTTTCAACATGCTTGGTTCATATAAGCCTTTGACACTAAGAACAAAAGAGTTAAGCAAGCTTATATGACCCAAGCCAACATGATGTACTCAATAGATATGAAATAAGCATGAGTACTAAAAATAAAGCTCATTTGCATCGGAGTAAAACGAGGAAGCAAAACAAATGAGCATAACCAGGTGACATGACATATAAATAATTCAAAGTAGAGAGCACACATGTCACATATCATATAAATATCACG